ACGGCCGCGAGCTGGCCAACATGTACGAGGAGGAGAACGACCCGGCCGCGCAGGCGCGCAAGCTCGCCGAGCACCGCTTCTTCGGCACCGGCAAGGACGCCGCGCCGCTCGAGGCGGACGACCCGCACCCGCTCAGGGACGCGCCGCTCGACAAGAGCTATATCCGGGCGCTCGAGGCTGGGTTGCCGCCGACGGGTGGCTGGGGGTGTGGTGTGGAGAGGCTTGTCATGTTGTTCTCTGGCGCCAGCCGGATCAGCGATTGTTTGAGTTTTGGCACGTTGAGGAACGTGGTTGGGTTGTCGACTGAGGGGCCGCAGAATCAGTCTGAGGCGGGTTCTTCTACCCAGGCTGAGGAGTCTACATCTAACCAGTCGGGGGAGTCTCCTTCCTGAGCGGTATTCCCCATCTCATCTTGAACCCCCTTATTTTCCCCAGCCAAAGCCGTTGTTTGCATTGGCCTTGTAATGTTAGATGGAGTTGGGACGCATGGGCAGCGTGTAATCATTTTGTACAACATTAGAGACTCAGAGATGTATCACATTGTAGAACAAGATCTGGTGCGGCATCATACAGAGAACCGAGTGCTTCATTCACGTGAGAGGCCACAGAGCATGCCACAGAGACGCCAGGGTGAGAATGGCTATTGCTTCTATGGACTGTGTAAGCTAGCCCTGCCTATTCCTTGAGAATCTTATTATGGGATCTGGCTGCAATGCCGAATGAGGGAAATCTGAAAGAGCAAAACCAATCGAGCCAAATGAGAAGAACCAAGCCAGCAAATTATCATACAATTATCCCTTTCTCTCATTCGCCGTAATCGTGCGTATGGAGAGGGTCGTCTGTTCTTTTACCTCTACCCTGGAGGTGTATGGGCCTGACTTCGCGACAGACAGCGGCCATCGCCGTCTGATGCAGTATCGTGAAGCAATGCGAAACCGCCAGCTTCTTCTCTGTCCATCTTGTTGTGTTTTCAATGGGCAGCGCTCAATGCCGTCTAATAGTGTATGACGAGGAAACGTAAAAGCTTGTTTCTTTCCAATCCATCTTGCACAGTGCAGTGTCTTCCACTTTCCAAATCCAATATCGTCTCGTCATGTTCCGGAGTGGGAGGAGAGGTCGAAGGGTTTCGGATAGAAGAGGTTTGTCGGAACGTCATCTGTTGCTCTTGATGGGCTGAGGCTGATCGTGCCAGCTCTGCCAATAATGTGATATCTGATAGTAATGCTGTTGATGTATGCATCCAAGGGCTACCTCGACTCTATGGGTGCCTCAAGGATTGTCGTGTCGAGCTCTCGAGGGCTCTCTCTCACCAAAAGCCGGCTGGCTTGGGAGGTTCGTGGCCAGCTGCCATTGCCGCCGCCTGCTGCTCGGCCAAGCCAGCGTCCCTGTAGTAGTTCTTCCACATGACGTATTCCCAGGACTGCTTGCGAAGCATGCCCTGGTTGGCGACTCTCATCTCCTGATACGGAGTCTGTTTGGTCATGGTTGGGTGATCATTGAAGATCCCAGCCTTCCACCAGCCCGCCTCCTGGGCATCGTACATCGCAGCCTGTCCCGCAGCATTGAGAATATCAAAGTTTCTGCGTTCGTCGATAAGAACTTGAACCTTGGGCAGGCTTCGGTGCTGGTGAACGGCCTCTTCACGATGAGTTCCATTGATCGTCTCTCCTTTGATGAAGGGATTGCGTCGAGGAGGGGCTGATACGCTCTGCATCTCATCGTCACTGAGATCTGTCTTGTCCTCAGTATCGTTAGGCGAGTAGAGAAATCGGTTGAGCATTGTTCTCTTGTCATGAAGGCGATGGTGGCTCTCTCCATTGAGCTCACCCCGAAGGTCGCAGATGCGGCAGACACGATGATCGGCTGCGCGAGACTTCATCTCCTCACGGAAGAGAATCGCGAGCATCTCGCAACCACATTGGCAGCATTCGTACTGCTCGTTGTAATAAGATGCTCGCTTATGCTTCAGCATCGTCTTGCACCCCTTCGTTCCCTGGAGCATACTGAGGAGAACTTGATCCTCGAGCATGAGAAGGCCAGGGTTGCGGAACTGACCCTCGGGACTCTGCGTCTCGGTGAGCCAGTCATAGGCGCCAGGAGTCTCCGCGGCCTCGAGCCACTTGAACACGTGGTGAAGGAATACCGCGACTTGACCGGGCCTCATCGGCACGAGATCGAGGAACTGGCGGAAAGGCTGTCCTTTGGACACGAGGTCAATGCCCATGGGAACGGCCTTCAGAATGGCCCAGAAGACTGTAATGAGGAGGCCTGTCTCGACGTTGGTCTTCAATGGGTTCCATGAGAGAACGTGGGTGCCAGTGCGGTTGTGGGCCGGCTCGGTGTAAGAACGAGGGTAGAACTGAAGCTTTCTCAGCTTCTTACCAGTCTTCTTGGCGCGTCGGAAGGCGATGTCGAGAATCGGATTGATGTCCGCGACATGAAGAAGCTCGCACTTGTCGATTCCCAGAATCTCGAGCGCAGGGCAAGCCGAAAGGATCAGCTCAAGAATGCGGAGGTCCATCATGGGGACTTCATGCAGCTGCAGAGAGGTGAGTGCTCCTCCGTACTGGGACAGAGACCGTACTATTGTTTTGTTAGCGATGTGTATACCATGTCAATTCTTCGGAGGACTTACGTATGGGAATGTTGTAGCTCATCTCAGCCAAGTAGATGTTGCCGCGCTTGTCCGCATCCTCGGCGATAGGAGCCAAGCCCATCTTCTCATGACCACGCCTCCAAGCAGTTTCAATTTCAGTGAGCTTTTTCTCATCGCGGTGAAAGCGAGCAAAGTCCTCGATGAGGCTGGAATCGTCCTCACACAGTGTTTCCGAAATAGCTCGCAAGTGATCGCGGTTCTGGGGGCTAGACCAAAAGGCGGGAGCATCCTTGATGTGAAACTTAGCATACGGGTTAGTATTGAGGGCTCTGCCGCGAACGAAGAGATTACGGCCGATGCCACGGATGTCAATGTTGGCGCGCCAGTCATCATCCATGCGAGCCAATTGCTCCGGAAGCCAGTCGCAGTCCCGATACTCGCCCGCAGGGAGGTCGAATTTGGACTATGACAGTGTTAGCTTCAGTTTAGCATAAGCTTTTGGAATGGTGACTTACCACATGAATCGCAACGGCTTCGTAGCAGCCCATCGAAGCTGATGCCAACTTGCCAACGGCTGCAGTGTCGATGAGCCACAAGTGGGCGATGATCTCGTGCCCAACAGGCACCACCTTCAACAGCGTTTCCAGAGTAACGTTGGTCTGGTTCGCCTTGAGGTTCTTGACCTTGCTGGAATCTGCTCTGGAATTCGAGTTGCCAGAGTCATCCTGACGGACCCCAGCAGTCACGAATTTCTGTCGAAGATTGTCCCAGAATGCAATGTTTGGGGGTGAATCAGCAGGCAAGTCAGGCAAAGAACCATTGGGACCGACCAGGAGCTTTGTGACGAGCTTGAGTTGGTGCGTTGTTTGCTCCTCCAAAGTCCGGCCGACGACTTCATGAAGTTTACCGTCGGCGGGAACGGTGAGCTCCATCTTGTAGGTACGGGGAAGCCGGCGAAGGGTCATGTTGTCGTGCTTAGTGCCGGTCTTTGGCTACCGAAGGAAGGATATACTTGAGTAGTAGTGTATGCCTTTGTTGGCTCTAATGATCGTAAAAGGCGAGAGCAGAGGAATGATAGTACTGAAGGGCAAGAAAGCCAATTACCAATAATTTAGGGGTTGTAGGGAGGAGTGGCAATTGGGACAGTGCTAGTGAAGCAAAGTCCAAGTTGCTTTTGTCTTCGACTGTGTGTCGGGCAAAGAAGAAAGAGGTTGGGGGTGAAGTAGTCGAGAAGGGAGTGGTACTAGGTGTTCTTGGAGAAGAAAATTGAGGACTGAAAGGTTGTGTAAGGTTGAGGGTGACGAAGATAGCTTGTGACCAAAAGGTGAAGTCGGCCCAAGTGGAAGTGGAAGTGTGAGTGGAAGTGGCCCAGAAAGGAACTGTAAGGTGGAAATACCAAGACCAAAGACTGCACAGCCCAGGAAAGGAGACTCGAGTGGGCTCCTTCCTTTCCCAAATATGACCCCTTTCAGGCTTAGTATTTTGGTTTTCAGTCGTACGGTCAGGTGATCGGGGAGAAGTTGTGGGAGTTGCTGGGGAGATGGGATAGGAGATCGGTCACCTTGAGGATGGCAGATGGTACGTAAATTGCAGGCAGGTGGCAGAGGTTATGGCTTCCCGAAGTACAAAGAGGCCATCTAGATGAGCCTAGAGCGGGATATGAGTCGCAAAGACTAATGTTGTCATTTATGAGCTCTATTGGTCTGACATTTTGGATCAACTGTGTTTCTTAAGCTCGTTATCGGATTGGAAAGCTGAGAACAACATCACTTGCCCTGTAGGAAGGAACTAAGGCGTCATATGGAGGAAGGATGAGGCTATGGGTACAACAGTTAGATATGCCATAGATCTGGCTCTGCTGTCCTGGTCAGATTTGTTGCTCTCGACGGTGACAGCCATGATGGTATATGATACGGTAGATGACTTGAGATCTGCTTGTGCGATGGTTCAGTTTGTGTCTGGTCTAGGAGACAGGATAGCAATAGTCTGGGAAGGGACCACCCATCCCCCTTTCCCGGTCAGCCAGCTCCATGTGAATCCACGCCAGCTTTCATGGCTCTGTAACCTGGGGGCTTGACATCCACGGTTTTTGTGCCTGTAAGCTTTACGAATCCCATAGGCCTCAAGAGAGCAGGCCTCTCTTCCATCTATAATCAGAAGACACCATGCATGTACCTCTCGAGCTTGTTTGTCACGGAGAAAGGTCACTCAGCCACCCGGCTTCGCTTGGAGACCAGCTTCAGCCACAACGTTTGAGATAGCGAAGGTTGATACACATTGCCTCATCACGCCCAGAGCCTAGGTATTTTGCTTACTCCTTTTCATCTTTGCAGATATCCCGGAGTGAGTACGGCGGCTGTGCTTTGTAACAACGGATGCCTCGAGAGACACTCGACCAAACAGTATGAGGCTCTACCGTGATGTACAACGAGCCTGCGAACACGCAAGTAACTGGCGACTTGACGAGGATAGCGTTCCAGCGAAACAACGTAGTCTACGACGGAAGACCGTAGTCTCATCCGAGCCTTATGAAACCATTCAGCAACTCCCCTCCCCAGAACAGGCGATGGCCTCATTCGAGCACACGCCTCCGAAGGACCAGGACTTCCAGCCCTACACAAGGCTGCGATTAAGGAACACCATCACATATCAGCTGTGTCTCATCTGCTTGGTACCCAAGGCCTTCACCCAAGCCGGCTGCTCGAATCACTCGCGCGTGTTTCCTCAGTTTGCGACCTTGGGAAATCGACTGGCAGTAAGAACGACCATGGACACCGACGCCGTGAACAACAGCTGCTAGAAGAACGGCCGAAAATCAAAGTAGGCACTGACTTCCACATACTAAGAGGTCTGAGGCCGGTACTCTTTGTGAGATGATCTCACCGTTATACGCCAGGTAGCATATCAAGCTGGATATCGGGCTGAGGTCGATAATATCAACGACTGCTATCCCACTGGCTGGATATCTTCAGGTGTCTCTTTGTGTCCCTGTCTATTTGAATGGGAACTCAAATTGGATAGATGCATAGAGAAGTGCTTCCCAGTGTTTGCCAATGGTATGATCAACTCCTCGAGTACAGCCATAACACCATAAGTGCAGAGAGGCATGAGAGGACACATGCCACAACGTCTGACACCCAAGATCCCCATCGTTGTCAATCTGCAGACAGGTTGTAATTCATTACTTCATCACGAAGGAAGGGCCAGATTGTATCAAGAGGCACGCTGAGGAACTCTGACTGACTTTACGCAGGCACAAGGTTGTCGTTCTCATGGGCATGCAGGAGGATTGACAGTGAGCTGCATCAGATGTCGTTGACTACGATCACGTGCCCGGCCTCTTTGACCAAACGGGATATTGGTGAGCAATGAGCATTATCAAGTCTCAACTCGAGACTCAAGTTTGAGAAGAGACGCAACAACAAACACAATTTTCAGCCGGGTCGAGACCCCAGGCCTTCCTAGGTACTTTGAAAAGCGACGTGAGACTTGAAGCATGGGAGAGCTGCAAGGAAATCCGCAGAACTTCCCTTGAAAGTCAAACTCGGCCGACATAAAGCCTACAGCATGCAAACATAAAACCTCCCAGGACGAGGGCCCTCAAAAGCCACAAAAGTATCTTACTTGGCAAGTCTGCCTCGAAAAAGTGGCTTGACACTTCACACTTCCTTCATATGCGGTGTGATAAGAACTGCATCCCTTATTGGAAGTACCGCATGAACCAACGAGCCAGTACATCTCATAGATGACGCCAAAAATGGCCACTAGGCCGGATGGTACGGTTGGATGGATGGCGTCTAAGGGATTCGCGGCACCGGCGGTGACAACGGCAAACGAGACATCGACTGGAGGAAAAAAAAAAAATGTGGTACGGCTGACGTCGAGAAAGTCGAGCAATGCGACCTGCGCAACCCCCCTTCCGATTTGCTTGATGGCGGGCCACTTGACTCGTCGTGGTGCGAGACATTGGCAATGGTACGCGGGGATCTAGAACGTGGTGAGGGGAGACAAGCCGAGAAGCCAAATGCATCATGTGCATACCAACGGCGGGGCTTGCATGAACGTTTTATTTTGTGTGCCGGGCCTTGCCAGCCCATGGTGTGAAGACAACGAGGGATCAACACATGAATGGTGGTGTACGAGCCACACGACCCCGAGGCGGAGCTGTATCGGAGACCGTCACCGCAAATTCGTTCTGGGCGAGGAGGCCGAGAATCAAGCTCGAAGCGGCCAACGGTAAACTCAGTCGGTCAGCGGGACAAACTCAGAAATGCGGAAAGTCTGGGCATTGATACTCCCTTTTTACCGCCTCATTTATCGCTGACATGGTAAACATTCAGGTCTCGCAAACATCGAATTATTACCCTTTATTCGATGTTGCTGCGCTCAACTGTGGCCGGAACTCTGACTGACGGCAAGCCATCTCAGGTTGGGGAAACGAAGAGATTCGGACATAGCTGCTTTGCTTGACCTGGGTTACCTTGTCAGCAAAAGGCGCGGACTCATCTCAAATGCCTCCTCTGGTCAAACTTGGCGGCCTCATCGCTTTACTACAGTGAAATGCCTGCACTTCTTCGTGTGTCTCAATCTAGCCCCCACCTGCATCAAACGAGAGACGGGTTTGTTTCACCTACGGGCTTCGTGGATCAGCAAGCACCAGCTGAGCTACTGATGGGTGACCGATAATGCGCTTGAGTGGCCGGGTTATTTGCGTTTAAACTGGTGTGCTCAGTAACACCGCGCACACCACAGCTCCAGTACTGGCCCATCTGATCGAGCTCCGACGAACTGTGCAATCGTGGCGACGGGATGCGTGGGCTGAGACGAGAGGGGAGTTGATATACTCCGGCCGATCCCGTTTGCAAGGCCCCGTGGGTCCGCAGTCCGGGACAGCGCTGTCAAAGCTGTATCTAATACTCGGGTGATCAACGTCACACGAGTTGAATCGCGGGGATGTATATGGTTATCGAGATTCTTTGTCCCAAACGGGCGAAATGCAAGATCAATGAAGGCGAAGCAAGCAAGCCGGGCGAGCCGGCGAAGTGTGTCCAAATCATTGGCGTACTCTGCTACATCGTTATACCGACGGTGAGATTATTGTAGATTCAGGGAATGCGAGCCGTGGGAGCCGTGTCGCGGTGGTTGCAGTTTTCCGTGCTGTGTCAATGTTTCACTCCACAAAGCCGTTATGAGCTAGACGCCCCCAGGCTGTCTGTCTCAGATGGGAGACGACGGCATGGGCGGCTCATCGAACCAGCGGGATAGGTATGTTATCTAGGTACAAGATATCATGTGCGTGTGCTCGTGAGGATGCCTAGTTCTAGTCATTATGTCCGTATGGCCATAGCCTTCTTTGTACATTTGACGAACTGATAGACACAACGGATTGTATCGTGCTACCTGGCTGCAGCAGTAACGACAGGTTGCAAGATAGCAGATGACGTAAAATGGACGGACCGGGGATGGCATATCGAACGGTCAATGGATCTCCACTGCTTGGAAAGGGAATAAAGTACGATCATGCGCATACGCAAAACAGGCCCGGGGGGGGGGGGGGTGGTGATCTATCGGTTGCCGTTGATAGGTCTCTCAGCCACTGCCAACGCAGCCCCGAGTATGGTACATGACAAGAAGACCAAGAATAGGAATGCTGTGACGATGTTGGGTGGCGCTGGGCAGATTTGCCTTGGACGGGTTCGAGGCACGTGGGCGACTACTATGGTGGTGATACTTCAACATTCGGTCAGTACGGAGTTGGTACGATTACCTACCTAGGTAGCGAAGGTTGCAAAGCAAGGTACCTACTTATCTCTTAGAGCCTTGCCTGAGGTAAGTAGGTACGTTGGAACCAGGGAAAACCTGCTCTGTTCCGTCAGCGTGAACTTGGAAGGCGCCATCTACCTAACCTGAGGTACTTGGTGCTTGCCTTGGCCTGAAGTTACAAACATGGAACTGGAAGGAACGAGGGTGGGATGATGTTCCTGCTTGCTGACTTCCCGTTCTATTCGATATTCGATGTACCTTACCTACATCACCTAAGGTACCTTATGCTTTTTCTTTCCAAGACTTCTTCTGTCTTACGTAACGTTCTTGCCAGCGAAGATGGATGTCAGTCACGATCCTGATTCTTGGCCGAGAACCGACCAGACACTACAACATAATTGACAACTCAAAAGACCCAACCAGATCTGCCGTCTCGGGCCTTCAGCATACAGGCACAGATACATCAATACGTTCCCAAACTACCGACCCGGAGCAATCTGATTCGGCTGCACCCACCCGCGAGATTCCTGGTGCTAGGATTCACGCCAGGCGATCCGATACGATACCAGTCATCATTGACACCATTCCCAGCCAGGCCACCAGAACCTTTCACCTTCCGTGCCCCTCCGCCTCCGGTCATGTGTATCTGAGACTGCAACCACGGCTCCGTTTTAAACCAGGGCGTTCGGCTGCTCGATGCTGCAGTTCGTCGAGACAGATCAGGGAGATGATGGCGAGGTGGCCTGCGCTCTGCAGCGAGATCGGGGAGATGACGATTTCGCCATCTAAGTCTTTTAGCCAAGCAGGGCTGCATTCGTCTACCCGTACGAAGTACCTACGTGGTCTGATGAACGCATTCGCTGTCTGCCGAAGATTCCAACTGCCAACTCTATTTTACCTCAGTCAAGACAGAGCCTAGAAATGGTAATTTGAAGTGTTATGGGATCCGCGTGAACCTTGCTCGCTATCCTCATCATCGCCCAAAACCCCACTTAGGCGACAAGAAGCGATACCATCGCGGATCTTGAATTCGAGGGGCAACGAACGCCCGGCTCCGAGTCTCCGTCCCACAGCAATGAGCTGTTCTCCGGCTGCCGGGCCTCTCCCTGGAGCCACCGCCAGCATGACTGGTCGCAATGTGGGTCCACATGAAAATCCGCTGCAAATGCGACTTCCCAACCTAGGAAGTAAAATCAAAGCAGAGATAGACCAGGGATTAGCTAACAGGGTTGTGAAGGACAGTTCTGACTGAGGTACGCGCAGCCCGCATTTGACAGGGCTTGGTGGTGGCATCTGACGGCATAAGTCGACATTCATTCGGCTTTCACTTCATGGGCATCCTGGATATCGAATCGCATTCCACGGGTGGCCCCTTCATCCCAAGCCAACCCATCCCATGGAATTCCAAACCGATCAAAAGAGCGGTCGGCCACCTCGAGCAGACGAATTCGGTTGACCTCCCGATGGCCTTCCAACGACATCAGGCATGTCGATCAGCTAGATATTAGGACAAGATCGCGCCGTTCAGGGGCACCGCATAGTGGCCAAGCATGACTCTCCGAATATTAGCCTTTCTGGTTTCGGTCTCGTTGTCCGTGGCGGACTGACTGTCCGCTGTCGCCCGTCAACCAGCTCGGAACGTCTGTCATGGCTTGCTCAATGTCAGGTACAGATATTGGGGCGCAATCATTCATCACCTAATTTACAAGCTAGGTACGCTTCAGGCGAGAATGGCCAAGTGGTTAAATGGGATCACGATGGTAGCGCCGCGCTGGAACCCCACGGAGCCAATAGTGGCCGACTCGGACGGCCCAAGGCTCTTTGTTGAAATGAAGGCCGTGTCCGTCAGCAATTTTTAGCTCGGCAGTGGCCGTAATTTGCCGTCCCTGCGCATCTGCATCTGGTCCCCGTCACGGATGGTCACCCAAGCAGCAAGCAATGTCCAAACGATGGCGGGTACTTTGTGCGAATACAAACCTCGCTTCGTTGGGGATATGCTGTGCTGCGTTCGAGGGGTCTGGTCTGGGAATCCGGCGG